GCCAAGTTCCTCTGAAATTTCTAAATTATTAACAAGCAATTCCTTGTTTGCCAGAACCAAGTCAAACAGGTTATTACCCCTTGTAGGTTCTATCACAAACTGCTTCAAAAAACAATCCTGAACTACTTCTAAAAAGTCGTTAGATTCTAAATTCCCAGTTAGAAAATTCCAATCAATATTACTAAAGTTAAAGTCCCCTAGAATTACAATGTTATTGTGCCTTGTGGCCTTAACAATTTCCTCCCAGAGGTGTCTTCCTCGGTCTCTGTCCAAGTAAATAAATTTTTCATGCCCCTCTGAAAATTCTACCTAAACAGACTCAGTATGTGTTTCGGGCTTTGTACCAGTTTTTATGCAACAATTTAAACGATCCCAGACATAGAGTGCCACCCTACCCCCCTTTCTGATATTTCTGTCTACTTGGAACAATTTAAAACCCTGAATGTGACATTCAGCAGGCATGTCCCTATTTTTCATATTAAACCATGTCTCAGTTATGGCAAAAACATCAATGTTACCTGCACCTTCAATTAATCTCAATTCATCCATCTTATTTTTCACACTTCGACTATTAATACAGTGGACCCCAGGTTTACGATATTGTTTCATTCCAGAAGTATGTTCAGGTGCCAGTACTGACCGAATTTGTTTCCATAAGGAATATTGTGAATTAGATTAGTCCATTTCAGACCCCCAAACATACACATACAAATGCACTTACGTAAATACACTTACATAATTGGTCGCATTGGGAGCTGATCATAAACCAGGGGTCCACTGTATAATACATTTTCAGAAACTCGCCCTTCTCTTTTCTCTTCCTGCTGATTTCTGTTCCTCCACTATGCCTGTTACTCTCCTGATCACCTAATGCCATTGGCTTTCATATATTCACCAATAACTCTACCTCATTCTGCCTATAACTGGTTTCCTTATAACTCACACTATCGCTACACTCAGATTTCATTAATTTTCCACAGAAACCCATACCACTATCTATTTCTAGTTTAAAGACCTAAGAGCTCCCTCCACTGCATTGGCCAGTGCCCCCACCCTAAACCTAGATAAGTGAATCCCATTCCTGGCATACATGTCATTTCTGCCATAGAAGAGGTCCCAGTTGTCTATGAATGTTACTGCATTTTCCTTACAGTGTTTGTCCAGCCAGCAATTGACACCGATTGCCCTGGACAATCATTCATTTCCAACTCCTTTCCTGGGCAAAATACCACATATGACAGGGTTCCCACCCTTCTTCCTAATTATCTCTATTGCTGTCCTATACCTGCTAAACAGGTCTTCACTCCTACGTCTGCCAACATCGTTGCCTCCTGCACTGAGGCAGATAATAGGATTGCTCCCATTACCTTTCATGATGTTGTCCAGATGGCTAACAATATCCCCCATCCCAGCCCCAGGAAAACATACCCTGTGCCTCCTCTTCCTGTCCCTAAGACAAAAGGCCCTATCCATAAACTTAACCTGACTGTCTCCAACTAAAACAATGTTCTTACCTTCACTTGTGGAATTCGTCCAATATCTTTTTAAAGCTGCCCAATGTCCTAGCCTCAATCATCCTACTGGGAAGATTGTTCCACGCATCCACAACTCTGTTACAAAACTAGTACTTACCGATGTCGTTTCTAAATCTAAATTTATCCAACTTAAATCCATTATTTCTGGTTCTTACCTGGTTTGACACCCTCAGTACTTTATTAATGTCTCCTTTGTTTATGCCCATCATCTACTTATACACTTCAGTGATATCTCCCCTCATTCTTTGTCTCTCCAGAGAGTGGAGATTCAAGGCTTTAAGTCTATCTTCGTACGGGAGATTCCTTACACAGTAAATCATTTTAGTCATTCTTCTCTGTATGTTCTCCAATGAGTCTATATCCATTCTTTAGTAAGGAGACCAAAACTGAACAGCATAATCTAAAAGAGGCTTTACTAGTGAAGTATAGAGCTGTAAAATAACTTTTGGACTTCTGTTACTTAGGCACTGCTGTCTTGGCTTTAGATTTCTGCTTACCATGACTCCCAAGTCTTTTTCACATTCTGTATGATGAAGCTCTACTTCACCTAGTTTATAGCTTCAAGGGTTAATATTAAAATGGTATAAAATACCGACAGGTTGTTAGGTAAGACACATATGCAACAGTTAGGTATCTTTATTTTGAAACATTTTGCCTACACAGTAGGCTTCTTCAGTCGAGTACAGAAAAGTTGATAGAAGCAGAAGAGACGTGAAGACGATGTAATCAGTCCATCACCCTTGAAGTTTTGAGGTGGTCAGTCCCTCAGTCTGGAGAAGAGTATTGTTCCATAGTCTGAAACAATATGGAGTTCAAGTGACAGGATGGAGCCTTATATACCATCACTTCAACTCCATATTGTTTCAGACTATGGAACAATACTCTTCTCCAGACTGAGGGACAGACCACCTCAAAACCTCAAGGGTGATGGACTGATTACATTGTCTTCATGTCTCTTCTGCTTGTATCAACTTTTCTGTACTCGACTGAAGAAGCCTACTGTGTAGGTAAAACTTTTCAAAATAAATATACCTAACTGTTGCATATGTGTCTTACCTAACAGCTTCGAGGGTTATTTTCATTACCAAGGACTAGTACCTTACACTTATCCGCATTGAGCTTCATCTGCCATTTTTCAGACCAAGACATTAATTTGTCCAAATCCTCCTGGAGTTCATTGCTATCCTCCTCAGAATGAATCATATGGCCTATCTTTGTATCATCAGCAAATTTGCCCATGTCACTTATAATCCCTTCATCAAGGTCATTAATATAAATTATGAACAAGTGAGGGCCTAAAACTGATCCTTGTGGAACACTTTAATAATTCAATTTGCTCACATGCAAGTCCCACTCAAATCCAACCCCCTCTCACTCATGCATTTATCCAACCTAAATTTGAAACTACCCAAGGTTTTAGCTTTGATAGGACCTTGGGTAGCTTTAAAAAGAGATTGGACAAATATATGAGTGAGAGGGGCTGGGTATGATTGGTGTCATGGGTACATAATAACATAAGAAAGGAGGAACGCTATATTAGGCCTGTTGGTCCATACAAGGCAGGTCGTTCACAAGTCCAACCCACTAACAGAATAAACGTACCCAAGCAATAAGCGTTGACAATTTAATTTGATAAATTAGACACATGTGCAACTCTTGGGTATCTTTATTGAGGAAACGTTTCACCACACAGTGGCTTCATCAGTCCATACAAAGGAGAATGGTGTCGGTTCTCTGAACCATTCATCTACGATCCTGTCTGACACTGCAAATTCTTGGGATCTTAATACTTGGAAATTCTTCGCTTGCCTAACCCTTGGGCACGACCTACTTCCACATTGGTCAAATGTGATACCACCTACGACTGCTGCACCTCTCCTGCCTACGGTATATAAGCTACTTCTCCGCAGATATGCTGTATTCTTTTCAAGACTGATGGACTGACCACATCAACTCAAGGCTAAGGGACTGATTTCCTCAAACTCCTCCTGTTCTTCACCATTCTCCTTTGTATGGACTGATAAAGCCACTGTGTGGTGAAACATTTCCTCGATAAAGATACCCAAGAGTTGCACATGTGTCTAATTTATCAACGTGTCGGTTCTCTGAACCATTCATCGACAATTCTGTTTACTTATCTTGAGTGTGTGCTAATGGAGTTACAGGAAGTTGACATTGAAGAAATTGACAATGAAGCGCCTGTTGTGCATTCCTTGAGTGATGGTGAATTAAGATGAATTGTGATAGATAAATAAACCATAGAGTTGATATTAGCATCATATTAAAGTATTTTATCCTGTCTCCTGAGAGCAGGAATTCTGCTGGAACAGATTAATGCCATTTCAATTAATTTAAATGAGGAAAATTGACTCAGCATACGATCAAATTGGGATACGAACAAGGTCATGGAACAGATTAAATTCGTAAGCAGAGGTTCCACTGTATATCCATTGTTCGTAGTGACTGTGGGGTGACTCCTGTGTCTGTGCTACCTCTCCATAGAATATTTATGGCACATGAAATGGGTTTCTTGCAGTTCTTGATGAACAAAGTTCCATGAGTTTGGGCTTGGGGCAGAGTGCATTGGCATGTCATTTATTGCTTTTTTAATGTCCTGTGGTGTTAGGATCACATCAGAAATTCTTGAATTAGCCAAATTTTGAGTGTTGGTCATAAAGAATTTATTTCATTGTATTCCTTTATCTTGAATATGCTTATTTTTTTTCCTCCCCTCCCCCTCTTTTCAGCCATTAATGTCATGTCTGAGAGGTTCATCAAGATTGCTAGGCTGGGAGAGTAAAATATATTGTTGTACATACTCTAACACTTTCACAAATTCTTAATAAGTTATAATAGTATTAGCCTTTATCAGCATTGCTAGTTTCTAGCCTCAGTGTGATCAATCCTGAAGACAAACTTACTGCTCAAGTGCATCATTTCAGTACTCATGTTCAAATTGCTAACACATACAGTATAACTTATGTAATGTTTTACATAAGCAGTAAATAAATTATGCAAATTATATTAATACTAGTGGTTGATGCCACTTGTATTAACATAGTCATGTGCTTGCCTCACACTAGGTCACCCAGCTAACAACAGCTATAGAAGGTGATCTTCATGTAACATTGCTCACATTATATTTGCTTCAGGGAAAAAATATACAGCATCCCTTTTATTTTGTTACCTAAATAATGCATTTCTAACTGCAGTACAATATTTTTTTTGAAAGGAATAAGTCCTTATTTTATTATTTAAAATTTATAAATAAAAAACTAGCATTTTAATCTAGTGGTATCCAGATAAATAAATGATCATGACTAGACTGAATTACATTCCTTGTGCCTGGATTTATGGTCCAACTGAATCCAAACAAGACGTTGTTCAGTGTATAATAGACAAAACTGAAAACTGTAACTTTTTTTTTTTTTTTAGAGATATTGTTGAAGACTTTAATCTTTTCAGAATTCCTTGGACGAACAGAGATAAAGATCCATCAAATTTATGAGGAGTCTAGAAGTGAGCCAGGAGCACAACCACAACTTCACAAGCTCAGACTTCACGAAGTCAAGTCTGGGGAAGTCATCTTAAAAATATCTCTTCAGCTTTTTGATCGGTGTTAGTAATAACACTTTTATTCATATACAGTATTTCACCCAAAGAATTGCTGCAGTTACCTGTGGAGACTGAGATATACATATACAGGTGTTCCTTGCTCTATGCTGGCTTATTTTATGAGAATTCTTGAGGATAATTTGCTGTTAAATAAAATATAAAAAAAATCACTGATATGTGGTGTAACATTATTATCAATTCTGTATGTGAGATACACATTCATCATGTGTGGCAGGTGAGGTTTGCAAAATGCATTGACAATTCTTATTGTACTGAATTAAGTGTTATTGACCTTACTGAGCTCAGCACAGCTGCCATGCTCCTGGAATACATCTGCTTCATAAAGTCAGGGATATCTGTGTATATATGAACTTTATTTTCTTGTGAGAGATTATGTAAGTTATGGAGCATTGTGTATTACTTCACTCATAATTATTTATTAAACATCAGTTATAGCACCTATTACATTATTCCATAAAGTTAATAAATTCAATTTAATGTGGTTGAAGAACAGTTTTGTAACTATCACAAGTTACAATGGTTGAAGAACAGTTTTATAACTATTACAAGTTACCATGGTTGAAGAACAGTTTTATAACTATTACAAGTTACTATGGTTGAAGAACAGTTTTATAACTATCACAAGTTACCATGGTTGAAGAACAGTTTTATAACTATTACAAGTTACCATGGTTGAAGAACAGTTTTATAACTATTACAAGTTACCATGGTTGAAGAACAGTTTTATAACTATTACAAGTTACCATGGTTGAAGAACAGTTTTATAACTATTACAAGTTACTATGGTTGAAGAACAGTTTTATAACTATTACAAGTTACCATGTTTGAAAAACAGTTTTATAACTATTACAAGTTACCATGGTTGAAGAACAGTTTTATAACTATTACAAGTTACCATGGTTGAAGAACAGTTTTATAACTATCACAAGTTACCATGGTTGAAGAACAGTTTTATAACTATTACAAGTTACTATGGTTGAAGAACAGTTTTATAACTATTACAAGTTACCATGGTTGAAGAACAGTTTTATAACTATTACAAGTTACTATGGTTGAAGAACAGTTTTATAACTATTACAAGTTACCGTGTTTGAAAAACAGTTTTATAACTATTACAAGTTACCATGGTTGAAGAACAGTTTTATAACTGTTACAAGTTACCATGGTTGAAGAACAGTTTTATAACTATCACAAGTTACCATGGTTGAAGAACAGTTTTATAACTATTACAAGTTACCATGGTTGAAGAACAGTTTTATAACTATCACAAGTTACCATGGTTGAAGAACAGTTTTATAACTATTACAAGTTACCATGGTTGAAGAACAGTTTTATAACTATTACAAGTTACCATGGTTGAAGAACAGTTTTATAACTATCACAAGTTACCATGGTTGAAGAACAGTTTTATAACTATCACAAGTTACCATGGTTGAAGAACAGTTTTATGACTATTACAAGTTACCATGATTGAAGAACAGTTTGATATATTGTTATAGCCACTGCATATAACATATCTAGTACTGTATTGTATTACTTGTTCTAATTTTACATGTATTCAGATAAGTAATAAATATTTTAAGTACTATAGTAAGTTTATTATTTACTTTCATTATTAGCCAGTCTCTCCCCCACAGGTAGAATGTCCAAACATCACAGTTAAAAAATGACCATCTGAATTGCTCATCCTTCAGGATCCATCTACCTCAAGGCTGTGGTATTTTGCTGCTGTTATCTACATTGTTACTTTATCAACCTCATCCTTCTCTTCTGTTGGAGTAAATTGGAAACAGTTCAGATGATTGATTCTTAGCATTATCTTTTTGTTTGTATTCAGTATTGGCTGTACATATGTTAAAAGAGACAGAAGAAAGCTGTCTTGAGTACGTGAACATGAACTCATATAAGGTAGAAGATCTTGAAGATGTTGCAGGAGTCTGGGACTGCTAATAGGAGCAAGAAGACAAGAATTGAGGAGTACTGCAGCAAGCCTACTGGCCCATGCTAAGCAGGTCCTTTTTCAAGGTCTTCCATGCCTCACCTTCACCAATATGTGTATAAGACACCATTCTCATGCTTCAGCTTCATATTGTTCTAGACTATGGAGCTAACCTCTTCTCCATCTTAAGGCTGATGAACTGACCACCTCAAAAACTATTTTTCCAAGGCTGATAGACTGATTACATCTTTACCTTACCACTATTTCTCTTGCCTTATTCTCTGCTATATTTATTTGATTAAAGAAGCCTACCACATAGGTGAAACGTTTCAATAAAGATACACAACTGTTGCACGTGTCTTACTCGCACCTGGAGTATACCTGGAGAGGGTTTTGGAGGTCAATGCGCCCACTGCTCAGTCTATGACCAGGCCTCATGGTGGATCAAGATCTGATCAACCAGGCTGTTACTGCTGGCAATGTGTAAACTGATGTATGAGCCACAGCCCGGCTGGTCAGGTACTGACTTTAGGTGCCTGTCCAGTGCCTTCTTGAAAACAGCCAGGGGTCTTTGAATTGAACAGTCTTGAGCCCATGACACTGTGTTCTCACTTAGAATACTCTTGGCACCCCTGCTTTTTACTGGGGGGATGTTGCATCTCCTGCCAAGTCTTTTGCTTTTGTAAGGAGTGATTTTCATGGGCAGATTTTGGACAAGCCCTTCTAGGATTTTCCAAGTGTATATTATCATTTATTTTCTCAAATGCATTCCAGGGAATTCAAATCAAGGGACTTTAACCATTTCCAGTAATTTAGGTGCTTTATCATACTTACATGTGCCATGAAGTTCTCTCTCTATTCTTCAGGTCTGCAATATCGCCCACCTTGAAAGGGGCCATTAATGTGCAACAATATTCCAGCCTAGAGAGAACAAGTGATTTGAAGAGAATCATCATGGGCTTGGCACCCCTAGTTTTGAGAGTCCACATTATCCATCCTATCATTTTCCTAGCAGATGTGGTAGATACATTGGTGTGATCTTAGAAAGTGAGATCCTCTGACATTATTGCTCCCAGGTCCTTCACATTAGTTTTTCACTCTGTTGTGTGGTTGGAATTTGTTTTATACTCTGATACAGTTTTAATTTCCTTGAGTTTTCCATAGCAGTGTAATTAAAATTTGTCTTCATTGAACTTCATATTGTTTTCTGTGGTCCATGTAAAGACTTACACAAATAACCCGCACATAAAAGACAGAAGCTTACGACGACGTTTCGGTCCGACTTGGACCATTGACAAAGTCACACTGTGACTTTGTCAATGGTCCAAGTCGGACCGAAACGTCGTCGTAAGCTTCTGTCTTTTATGTGCGGGTTATTTGTGTATCGTTCCAGTCACGGTATTGTGCCTTTTTGTTATTTATGTAAAGACTTGGTTGATATCCACCTGAAGACATGCAGTGTCTTCGATGAATGACACAGTCATGCAAATTCAGGTGTCTTCTGCAAAGGAGGACATGGTACTGTGGCTTTCATTTCTGTCTGTATCAGATATGAGGATGAGGAGCAGGGTGGGGCGAGTACTGTGCCTTGTGGAACAGAGCTTTTCACTGTAACTGCCTCTGGCTTTACTCTGTTTACTATTACTCTTTGTGTTCTATTTGTTAGGAAGTTATAGATCCATCTACCAACTTTTCTGTTATTCCTTTATCACGTATTTTGTGCGCCATTACACCATGATCACACTTGTCAAAGGCTTTCGCAGTCTGTAGATACTACATCTAGATTTTGTTTATCCTCCAGAGCATCCAGGACCATGTCATAGTCATCCAGTAGTTGGGAGAGGCAGGAGCGACCTGCTCTAAACCCATGCTGCCCTGGGTTGTGCAACTGATGGGTGGCGACCCTGCTTCTTAGAACCCTTTTAAAGATTTTTATGATATGGGACGTTAGTGCTATCAGTCTGTAATTCTTTGCAGTTCCTTTACTGCCACCTTTGTGGAGTGGGGCTATGTCTGTTTTTTTTAGTGGCTGTGGGATGACCCCTATGTCTATGCTCTTTCTCCATAGAATGCCTAAGGCACATGAAAAGGGCTTCTTGCAGTTCTTGATGAACACAGAATTCCATGAATCTGGGCCTAGGACAGAGTGCATGGGTATGTCATTCATTGCTTTTTTGACGTCTTGTGGTGTTATGATAATATCAGTGATTTTTTAATTAGCCAAGGAGAGTTTGTTGCCTCACTGTCCAGCCATGGAAAAAAGAATGAAGCAGTGACTGCAGATACCCTCCTGGCTTACCTTAAATTCCAGAAGGCACACAAGCAAACAAGCAAATTAGCAGTGCGAGCAGCCAGTCAAAACATGAATATGACAGCACAGACAGTGTAATTTGTGTTACATCCTACCTATCATTGTAGCTAAATATATAAAACAAAACTATAAAGCATGATATTTTCACTTTAGCTATTAACAAAAAATAACATTAGCAATATAATATTAAGTAATATCTTTCTTCTTCTTTCAACAAACCGGCCGTATCCCACTGAGGCGGGGTAGCCCAAAAGGAAAAACGAAAGTTTCTCCTTTTAATTTTAGTAATATATACAGGAGAAGGGGTTACTAGCCCCTTGCTCCCGGCATTTTAGTCACCTCTTACGACACACATGGCTTATGGAGGAAGAATTCTGTTCCACTTCCCCATGGAGGTAAGAGGAAATAAACAAGAACAAGAGCTAGTAAGAAAAATAGAAGAAAACCCAGAGGGGTGTGTATATATATGCTTGTACATGTATGTGTAGTGTGACCTAAATGTAAGTAGAAGTAGCAAGACGTACCTGAAACCTTGCATGTTTACGAGACAGAAAAATGGACACCAGCAATCCTACCATCATGTAAAACAATTACAGGTTTCCGTTTTATACTCACTTGGCAGGACGGTAGTACCTCCCTGGGCGGTTGCTGTCTACCAACCTACTACCTAGGATTAAGTAATCTTCTTTCTTTCAACAAACTAGCCGTATCCCACCGAAGCAGGGTGGCCCAAAAAGAAAAACAAAAGTTTCTCTTTTTAAATTTAGTAATTTATACAGGAGAAGGGGTTACTAGCCCCTTGCTCCCGGCATTTTAGTCGCCTCTTACAACACGCATGGCTTATGGAGGAAGAATTCTGTTCCACTTCCCCATGGAGGTAAGAGGAAATAAACAAGAACAAGAACTAGAAAGAAATTAGCAGAAAACCCAGAGGGGTGTGTATATATATTTGCTTGTACATGTATGTGTAGTGTGACCTAAGTGTAAGTAGAAGTAGCAAGACGTACCTGAAATCTTGCATGTTTATGAGACAGAAAAAAGGACACCAGCAATCCTACCATCATGTAAAACAATTACAGGCTTTCGTTTTACACTCACTTGGCAGGACGGTAGTACCTCCCTGGGTGGTTGCTGTCTACCAACCTACTACCTAGGATTAAGTAATATATGATAATATATAACAAGAGTGTCAATTTTTTCTGAGGACCTGACACTTCCTCACAATTGTTCCTCAATCCAATTCACAAGACCCTATGTTCGCCTTCACCCCAATCCACAAGACCCCTCTCATTTTTCCCTATCTACATCCAGGATACTGCCCCCTTGCCAGGGAAATAAAAATCAAATCAATCCTTGTATCCAACCCATGCCAACCCCTCCCACTCCCCTGACCCATTTGCAAGGACTAAAAATTCAGGAACTCTTGAACCAGAACACAGTAATGAAAAAGAAGCTGAAAATATGGTACACCAATGTAGATAGAATAACAAGAGTGATGAATGAATAATGGATGCATCCCCAGACATTATAGCAATCACAAAATGAACCTCACAGAGATAACAGACATGATTTTCCTTATTGGATATCAGATTTTGAGGAAAGACTGAGGGAGCAAAGGAGGTACTCACCTATTTGTGGTTGCAGGGGTCGAGTCCTAGCTCCTGGCCCTGCCTCTTCACCAGTTGCTACTGGGTCCTCTCTCTCCCTGCTCCATGAGCTTTATCAAACTTCGTCTTAAAACTATGTATGGTTCTCGCCTCCACTACATCACTTTCTAGGCTATTCCACTGCCTGACAACTCTATGACTGAAGAAATACTTCCTAACATCCCTTTGACTCATCTGAGTATTCAAATTCTAATTGTGACCTCTTGATTCTGTGTACCCTCCCTGGAACATCCTGTCTTTGCCCACCTTGACTATTCTGCGCAGTATTTTATATGTCGTTATCATGTCTCCCCTGACCCTTCTGTCCTCCAGTATCGTCAGGCTGATTTCCCTTAACCTTTCCTCATAGGACATTCCCCTTAGCTCTGGAACTAACCTTGTCGCAAACCTTTGCACTTTCTTTAATTTCTTGACATGCTTGATCAAGTGCGGGTTCCAAACAGGTGCTGCATGCTCCAGTATGGGCCTGACGTACACGGTGTACAGTGTCTTGAATGATTCCTTGCTAAGGTATCGGAACGCTGTTCTCAGGTTTGCCAGGTGCCCATATGCTGCAGCATATAGGCACTCTGTCCTAGGCCCAGACTCCTGGAATTCTGTGTTCATCAAGAACTGCATATGGGTGCATCCTTTTAGGAAGGACCTACTTCCACTGGGGAATCCCGCCTACCAGTGACTATGCCCTTGTCTGCTACATGTCCTTAAACACTGACGCCTATATAACCACCAGTCTTCTTGCCTTTGCTCCAGATTCTCCTCCACCACGATGCTGTGAACACTAACTCCAAGGCTGAGGGACTGATTACCTCATCTTTTGTATGTAGTTCTACTGTCTTCTATTATGTCCTAGAATCTGTATTGATAAAGCCACTGGATGGCAAAACGTCTACAATAAAGATATCCAGATGTTGCACATGTATCTTAACTTTCATATTGTCGATATTTTATACCTTGCACAACATGTACATTATATACAGTACCTGGAGTTTACCTTTAGAGGGTTTTGGAGGTCAACGCCCCTGCGGCCCAATCTGAGACCAGGCCTTATGGTGGATCAGGGTGTGATAAACCAAGCTGTTACTGCTGGCCACACACAAACTGATGTATGAGCCACAGCATGGTTGGTCAGGTACTGACTTTAGGCGCCTGTCCAGTGACTTCTTAAAGATAGCCAGGGGTCTATTGGTAATCCACCTTATGTATGCTGGGAGGCAGTTGAACAGTCTTGGGCCCTAGACACTTATTGTGTTGTCTCCCATTGTACTCATGGCGCCCCAGCTTTTCATGGGGAGGAATGTTGCATCTCCTACTGAGTCTTTTGCTTTCATAGGGAGTGATTTTCGTGTGCAGATTTGGTACCA